AATCGAGGACTGCAGTGCAGGCGCCACTCGGCCTTGTCTCATCTTCCGACCCAAGGGGGGAGGTTGGGTAACGTGGATTGCCCAAACGGGGGATCAGATCGGTGGCCAAACGCAGCAGCAGTCACGAAAAAGGAAGTGGGCCCAACCGCCACTTGCTCGAAATTGTAGGCTTGTAGCTGCTGGAACGCGCTACTGAAAAGTCCCGTGGCTCGATGAAGAATCTCGGCATCGGACAGGAAAAGCACGTTGAGAGCAGCGATCGCTGTTAGTGAGATGGGCGCCGGCGCCAGCCTCAGACTGTCATGCGCGCTGCCCATCGTTCTTATCGCATCTCAGGACAGGATCGTAGCACGGACCAGGCGCTGTAATTAGAAATGTGCTGGCCCTCAGCGATCGCGTTAAGTTATAAGTGATAACTCTTAGACTTCGCCCGTCTTCTGCTCAGACGGTCAGGCCAGACACGCGGAGGCCGCCTACAGGATCCAGTGCCACAATTCCTTCACGTGGCAGCGCTGGCGATCGTCTCCAGGGGGGTCCGAGGCAACTCCACCCGACGTCCTCCTTGCAGACGCGCCTGCTAACTGCTAATGCCGCTGCATGGCATGGCGGATGCCACCTGGCATCCGTCCATCCCACGCTCCTTGCTCAGAGGAATGAGTCCCAGCCAGTCAGACGCCCTGGAATTTGGCAGGCCTGGAGCCGGCCTTGCTGAGCGCGTGGGCGTTCCGTGGGAAGCGGTGCTTTGGCGTCGCTGGTTTAAAGTGCCGAATAAGAATACTTCGACTCGACAACAGACTCGCCGCTTGCGGTTGCGGGTGCGGATTTCGACTCACTTAAAGTCGGCGACCCACCGGATCCCCAAAATTGGGCGCGACTGCAACCTATGGCCTTGTCGCGACACATGGCGACTGCGCAGATCACCGCCCGCGACGTAGTGGATGGGTGTACCGTCCGTGACACCAGGGAGAAAGAACAGCCGGCAATGGGCATGGCTGGGCTTTTGCCGTTCTAGGTCTGCCTTTCGCGTTGTTGCAGGGTTTGAATGCTTTCGTTCGCTTACAACAGCATACAGACTACGGAGGTTCCGTCTTGGTGGCCGACTTGTCGAATGTGCGGTTCCACAATCAAGGAGCAAAAGATACGAACCGAGTCTGGAGTCTGGAGACGATCGATCTACAGTAGCACAGATCACATCGATGGAATGTGAGTCGGGCAATGCGGTCCCATACGGAGTACACCATACAGCTTGTGCTGTATGCTTGCTGTATGCGTATGCTGTCTGCTGTACTATGATGGAGCGCGTAACCAAACCGTGCAGATGCCACCGGCCGACCGCCTACGCAGATAGGTATATCGCAGAGAATGGCCAGCCCGAGCTAAGGGAAAGTTATCTCCATTGGTGCAGGCCCATGACCGTGCAGCTTACCTAGTCTCAGGGAGGGCTAGTACTGCGGAGAAGCAGATCGACGATATCATCTTGACAGGTGGGTGATGACAGTATCATCCTACTACTCCGTACTCCCTGTAAGGAACCAAAATTCAGTCAGTCAGTCATCTTTATTATAGGATAGGATATTCGGTGTGGAAAGATCAAGATCATCTGCGTGCCAAGAGCATGCATGCACGTCGTCTTTCTTTCTTGTCTTTCTTTTCTTTTCTTTTCTCATACACAGCTTATTTGTGAGCTTCAGCTTTAGCAATCAGTTTCCGGTGACGCAAGCAGCAGTTCCAGCAGTTCCCACAGTTCCCATCCCAGCGTGTAACGTTACTCTTATTTCCCATGAAAGAAAGAAAGAATTGTAAAACAGTGGCTTTGTTTGTTCTTGCCAAAGCCAAGGCCAAGGCCAAGCACCGCACAAACTCCTGTATCATGTACGGAGCGGAGTATGTGGATCTCTGCGCGACATACACCTACAGTCTTACTACTGTACTCCGTACTGATGTACTGTACGCTATTAGGTAGTTATTAGTCGGTGAGATTATCTATCCGCCCTTCCGCTGCCGCACTCGGAGTCCGACGGAGTACAAGCAGCTAGCAGCAGCAAGCAGCCAGCAAGCAGCAGCAGGCTGCGTAAACTCTCTCGTAGAATTCTAGGCAGACACATTTTTTATTATAATGTGCGGTGTGTGTGGTATTTCCTTTTTTTTTTCATTTTTCTTGCAGGCGGTTATCAGGAGCATCCATCCTTGATCCAGAGGATTCGATTCCCTGTCTTGTTCACACGTGAGATGAACCGTCAGTTAATTAATTAATATTTGATCCAATGAATTAATTCTTCTTCTCCATTATGGTTCATAATAATGGTTAATGGGTAATTAAAATAAAAAAAAAGTCAAGCTGCATGGTTATTATTTTATTTTTTTTTATTGCTATTACTACTGTTATTGGATATTATGATGACAGACAGCATCGCCTACAGCGGAATATGCCCCGTATTCCTTTCCTTACCTTCTTACTATCTACTACTACTAACGACTAACAACGACTACTCCGTAATGCTATTCGCAAACCTTACGATAAACCAGCGGCACGGAACGACGATCACCCAGCCAGCCAGCTAGCCACATGGCAAATGCAGACTCGTTATACTTTTTTTTACCCTTTTTTTATTAGCGATAACATCAACATTAGCATTGACATTAAAATTATTGTTCTTGAAACGTAACGTAGCAGCCAGCAAATGCTACGGTCGGTAGTCAGTAGTCTGTACCCTGTGAAATGAATGAAATGAAGTGGAGTGGAGTATTGCGGAGGGAGTATCATAATTAAATCATCAATCAATCAACGAACAACGTCCAGTTCCTAGGTACATGTACTTACGGAGTACTCCGTCGTAGACAGGGGACTGACTGAATCTTGCTTATTACTACCTACCCGTGCTCCCGCCCCAACATCGTCCCGTGTTGGTGCGTTGCACCGTAACGTCCATTTTGACCACAACGTCCAATTTTGAATATTTCATCAATTTTCTACCTCACCACAATGCCAAAATCGCCAGATAAAATCGAATCCCGAATCCAGGAGGCCTTAAAAAAGGCTTCATGTACAAAAAAAGCCAAATATCTCTGCGTTGGCGCGAGAATTCGACGTGCCTCGCAAACGGCTTCACGAACGCTTCAAGGGTCGGCCACCAAGAACCGCCAAAATCCCGCGCAATAAGGTATTAGATGACCAGCAAGAGAAGGCAATTATTCGCTGGATTCGACAGCTTG